GGTTTGTTTTAATTTTAAGTTAGACAAAGATACTATTCGTTAATTTATACCATTCCATTCGTCTGTACGTAAACAAGTATACAGGGACTGTATAAACCTTTTCAAGAGTTATGTTATAATTTTAAAACTTTCTGACAAAGGTAGGGTTGGGGTTTTAATTTTATTTCCAATATGTTTTTAACCCACTATATTTTAAGATTGTGTTGTCAAAATTTCAATCAAAATACCAAGTTTGTCAATTTTTTATATGCAAACCTAAAAAAACATTACCATTTTGAGTTATAAAGAGAAAACAAATGTAATATTAAAAGAACGCCTCCATGATTAACAGGAATGTGCTTACATTTAAAACGCAGCATGGATATGCAAGTATACATGTATTTGACACACGGAGCTTTCCAATTGAATGTGTTAAGTTTACATAGTTTCCCCATACTATTATTGTCACTCTTACGGCAAGCATGACAAAAACAAAGGAATTTATGAAATAATTTTATTATAGTTTTTTTTCTGTATTTAGCAAATACAGAATATGATTTTGATTTTATTTGATTTAGGTATGGTCTTAAAATATCTCCAAAGTTACAAAAACTTAAAATCAAATTTGATTAAATTTTGGGGCTTTATTGTGAAGTTAACAGTAAAAGATAACTTTATTTTGTATTAAATCGTCGTTGCATTCGTCACTCCCCAGACAATGTCGTCCTTATCCTGTTCATCATGACCCCAACCCTGATCGGCGCACAGATCATTACAGTTAACGGCAGAAGCAGCAAATCGACTGCTTATTTGCTCCGGTGTCTCACAGGTACTAGTTTTTATTTCGATGACCGGTTCCATATCCTTAAAGAAATCAAATTCGCTTAACTCAGATCTTTGTATCACCGGTTGCACTTTTATGTCCAGCTCACTGAGATCATCGTTAACTTGTTGTTCTTTTTGAGATATTGTTTCGTTTATTCCAACGGATAAGTTAAAGGTTGCAGTGCGATATGAGGGCGACAACGATTTGTTTGTTTGGATCTCTCTAGTCAATGCATTACTGTTGGTTTCCGACTCGGTTCGAACCTGATCCTCTCGGTAGTCCTGCTGAAGCTGGTCTGTATTGTCCCAATCAAACCAAATCCCCTCTTCATCAACGTTGGCTCTTTCATGCTCTGTGAAGGATCTATTTGAGTCCTTTTCAGGGTCGCTATTATGATTTATACTTATGGATTTTTCATTTGAATTTAACCGGACTTTCTCGTCTTCACCGCCGTCTGGGCTAAGGCGAATTGATAAGGGGGAGACATTGCTTTCTTGTGGCAATGGGCTCCCAGAAACCATAAAGTCTTCCACGTCGAAAGATCTAGTATTCATTAAGGGACTAATGGATCGCGGTTCTGGGAAAGAATTTGCGATGTCTCTGGACACAGCAGCGTGCGGACGACCATCAGAAAAACATCGGGCTCGGTCCCCTCCTAAGACTTTGTTGGCTCCTAATATGGAAACTAAATCAGCCATGCACCTAAGCGTTTTGGCTACCAAGATGTCGTTAGTATCGTTCATACCCAGCTGTAAATGAGGAAGAATCTCCCTCTCAAGTTGCTCATCGCTTAATAGACGAATATAGTCTATAAAATAGTCAAGAAGTATTAACCGAATCTGTGCATCACGCAATCGGAACATCTTGAGTATGTGTGGAATTAAATATTGAACGTAGATTTGCGGAGAAAATAGCGATGCCAGTGATTTATCCGTAACTTTTGTACGGAGTATATATGGAGTCACGAATTCTTGTGCAGCAGGATCCAGCAGAACCATTCTAGAGAGTAAGTCACTCGCCAGCTGCGAAGCCACTACTTCCTCGTCGAAATATCGCAGTCGATCAATCAAACTTCTAAAGAATTTGTGGCGTTCTTGCACTGACTTCAGCGGTAACTCAAAGAGAAAGGAATGTATGAGCACGAATTCATGGTTGAAGTAAGGATGTAGCAAGATAGCAGAAAGTCTTGGCCTTAGCTTTGTATTCTGATGCTTCAGGTGTGTGTTGCAATACTCACGGAACTCCTGAACGTGTGGAGTGCTATCAGTAATGCAACTGTCCTTTCCTCTCCTGCCCAACACTTTCTCACAGAGAATGGCAAAGAAGAACTGTTCAAAATTCTCTCCGTGAATACTCAAGTCTATATAGGAATGTGCCAAGTCGAGCAGTTCTTTGTTGACATCTGTGGCTCTCCAAACGTACTCGAAGCCGGCGAGGCGCCAGCTTCCACTCTCCGTCACGTAAATAGACAGCGTGTTAATATTTAAGTGTCGTGCCAAAGCCTTCTCAACCAGAAATATTAGAGCGCAAAGTATTGTTCGCAGGCCTAGACAGACTTCAATGTCGGTCTGCTGGGCCAGAACCTCATCAAGATGCCTGACTCTCTCTGTAGCAAGATACTTCCGTCCCGACTTCTCCCAAGAAGCTATATATTTTAGGATGTACGGGTGGCGGTAGACCATTAGGTTCTGGGGAAAAACATTTGGTAAACAGTGGTTTTATTTTACCCTAGACATATACTTTTATTGCCCTTTCAATCGGACCCACTCCATGAGACCAAATATGTGTCTTGGGAAAGACCTTGCCTTCGAATACAGACAGCATCTGGCTCCAACGTTCATCGTTGGATGTCGTTGGTGTCTTTGCGTTATAAACGGTCCAAAATTTATTAATCTCAACCGCATTTTCCTCAACAATAATTCCTTTTAGTTTGCTGCCTTCTGTGCCCATAGCTGTAAAAGCAGTAATCTACTGTGGTGAGGCAACTTAATTTATTTGTTATTTTCGGCAAATAATGTATGACACTAATAACATGTTCATACAGGGACGCATCTGCACTAACAGTTAAAAACAATGTTGGAATGTTGTTCGCTGAGTAAAAACAATAACCAAGAAGTCGAAATCAATTTTGATCTAAGAAACGAATTTAATTACTGTTTTGGTCAATTTCGTTGTAATATGACATAATAAAATATTATTTAAAAATTGATGCTGTGACTATTACTTATTTTAAGAAGATATTTTTAGATTTTATTTTTATTCGTTAGAAATATTCGTTATATAAGCGCACAAAACTAGGAAAATAAGTACACTTCTAAAATTTTCTTTATTTTGTACTACTTAGCACAATTACTTATCGTACTTATATTATTGTACTTTACTAAATCAGAAAATAAACTTTTATTGAATATAAATGCAGATATATTATTAAAATTTGGAAAAATAGTAGCAAATGAAGAGCTCTATTTATTTGTCAGCTTTAAGCAAACGGATTAAGGGGAACTAAAAGAAGAAACAATAAATTTTCCTACACACCCAAAAATTCGAGGTTTTTAAATATATCAGATTAGAATATAACAAAAACATAAAAAAAAATAAATATTATTATATATAAAAATAACGATACATTTTCTAGCTTCGTAGCTTCATAAGCAAAGCAGTCCTTAGGGTGGAGTACGACACAGTAAGTCCATTTTTATGTCAATTGGAGTATTGCACTGTCTTACGGTGGAGTACGACACGGCAAGTCCATTTTTATGGCAACGGGAGCATTTCCCTGTCCCGTTCCACTTTTGTGGCGATTCTGCGGTAATTATACGATGCAACTGTTATTGCAGTCTGAATATATACTATATTTGCTGTTAAAAATGTACTGCAAAATACAAAAAATAGTTTAAAAGTGTGGACGCTGAAAGTTTCGTGGCCAAAGAGTTTGCCGATTTAAATTGGCAAGACAAACCAAAAACACGAAAAAAAAAAATTAAAACATTTTTCAAAAGTGTGGGCGTTGTAGTTTTTGGTGATTTATGGGCATGGCAAAAAGTTTTTTGTCAAATCGATAGAAATGTACATGACATGTACATCATTTTTATAATTTTATAAATTAAGAACTGTGAAATATATTTTGTGTAAGAATTGAAAACGTTTAAAAGTGAAGGACTTTGTGATTGACTAAATAATTATATTACCTATTAGACGATGTATATTATATGTTTTTGTTGGAGCATATTTTGGCTGATGGTGTAGATGGCTGAATAAGTGAGGTACATAAATGAGGTGGTAGTAAGTTTTTTAACTTTTGAACTTAAATCCAATCTGTGCGGGTCTGCAGCTTATGACGCTTTTTTAATGACGTTTTATAAATGGTCGCAACCGTGTAGGTCCCAGTGCTTTTCATTTTAAATGCCAGGCTAGACATAGTTGCTTGTAGTTCATTGCTGTTGGTCAATTGTTTATATATTGGAGTATGTTATTATTATTTGCGTGACCCTTAATTTTCTATTGGATTATTAAAAGCGACATTAGCAGTTGTTTTGCAGTAGTGGGTTAATATAAGGCTTAACGATCAAGTGTAGACTTAAGAAGTGATTGGGTTTAATTGTTACTGTTTTGATAGATATAGAGAGTATGGGACTTTGTTGGGTTGTTGTTTTAATTTTTAATTCATCGGGGTGTTGTGATGTCTTCGGGCTGAATTGTCGTTAGGGTTGTTTTATCTTGATGTGTTGGAGACGCTCATCGTTCTTGAAGAGCGGTTTTGTAGTCGATTTTTTCTAATAATATTTTTGCTGATAGTTCTTTTTGTTTTATTAGTGTGGGACATATGCGGTTAAAAGCATGTCGTCTATTTCTGTGTTCTTACAGATCAGTTCTTATCATTAAAAATGGTCAAAGATTAATCTTCCGCTTACTAGCATCATGCTCCTAATGTACATGTGTGCATTAATCGCGTATGCATTAATAGCCGATTTACCTGAGCTGTGAAATTAAAAAAAATTACAAAAAAAATTCGAAGAAACGGTAACAAGATGTCAAGAAATTATCACAACAAGGAATGAGAGCAAAGGACGTCGCCATCCGACGACAGAAAATGCTGTAACGGTGGAGCATTAGTCTTATTGAATAATTGTTAAACGTTCATATGTATACAGTGGGTATGGGCTATTTCAACAAAAATTCAATTTTTCCCTTGAGACGATAATGAACGCACGATAGTCTTAATCACATAAAAGTTGTGAATTCGTATGTTCATGTTTCGGTCACACTGGTAGTGAGTGAAAACAAGTGACAGTCTTTTGTTTTTCACATTTTGTTTTTGTATATATTTTGGAAAAAAATACATAAAAGTGTAATTAAAATCGTGTACATAGAAATGATTTAAACCCCGTTTTGCAACTTGAAAAATCACGCATTATATCAAATGGATCGGTTTTAAATTATTCAACATTGGTTGTAATGCAAAAGTATTAGCGAAAAGTATAAAAAAAATACGCCTCCCCTTTGTGCTTAAATTGGTGTGATCTTATCTAGGACGAATTTAAAAAAACAAAATATAAGGTTCGAAGGTGAGTTAGCATGCAGTTCTTGAGTTAATGTGTGGCTGAATATGAAAATATCAAAACATTAACGATATTTCTACAAAAAAACTGAAAGAAATTAATTCTAATAATAGAGATCCAGAATTAAATAAGTTAACAAACAAGATATAGATAGACTTTTATAATCAGTCCACATTTAATAATCGCTGATGGTTCTATCGTAATCTTACTAGTGTGAATATTTGGCACAAAGATCACTGAAGTTTATAGAATTTAATTTGTATTAAAAAAGTTTAAATATCTGTAGGACTTTTTTAAGCGCTTTAAGTACTTTAACAATAAGTACTGTATGTAACAGGTTGGACAAAATGCCAAGATCATTAACTGGGTCTTTCTAGCCATGTGCACATCTCTCACCATATCTATCAGAGCTGTTACTTAAGCTGTGCACTCTCCGGGCAGAAATGTCCTTATACTCCTGCAGAAGGTATCTTGATATCAGTTATGTATATGTTTGCTAGGCAGTGTAAGATGTACATTTGTATATACATTTCTAGTTGTACTTATCAGTAAATGTCTGAAAAGCGCATGCTGCCACAATTTTAAAGTGCCAGATACTATTACATTACTATTAAAAATGTTTTAATTTTTTTTTTACATAATCTTTTAATTTTCCATCGATGTGTCAAACAAAATGTTGGCCACATTTAATTGTTATACAACAATGTATACAACAATGTATACAACAATGTATACAACAATGTATAACAACAATATAGGCCGAGTTTCTGGACTATAGATACTCGTTTCTCGGTAGTGGAATTGCGAGGAAATTTCAAAATTCTTTAAAAAATAAAAAAAAAACCTAGAGTCGATTTCCTCGATTTTCCGATACCTCGTAATCAGCTAGTGGAAGGTTTTCAAAAATAAAAATATAATTATACTTATTAAATATATGAATTAAAATTTCTTTAAATTATATTAAATAGCTACCATATAAGCAGTCGATTTTACCTGGTATTTTTAGAAATTCGAAATCACTTATTTTATTAATATCATTTACCACACTAGCCTTCATTATGATCAATTACAATAAAATTCTCTTAATTGTGTTCAATAAGCTTCAATAAGAAACTAAATTGTTTTAAATGTTTAACATGGCAATTGCTTACGTCGTCGTTGCCTGCAACACTATACATACATATGTATGTATGTATATTATATCATAAATACGTACATGTAACGTATTCCTCGTCGGATGTGGAATTATTCCGGAACACGTTCTTTCATAACTCTTATTCGAGTGGAAGGTATTCCACAAGTACTCCTTGTATTACATTTTGCCCGCCGTGAGACTTCCTTTCATACTTTCCGTGCAACCCATCTGTAAACACTCCGTGAAAGGCTTCTGAATGCATTTCCTTAAATGCTTGACGTAAAGGATGTATTCAAAAAAAAGTATTCCAAAATATTAATATTACAATACTTTCGCAAACGTTAATCAGGATTGTATAGAATTTTAAAAATTCTTGAGGTGATCAAAAGGTCAAATGAGGATCAAACGATTAGAAGATACAATATTTTAAAAAAGCAAACTTTAATGTTTTTGAAAATGTCAAAAAACTAAAAGTCAAATATCTCGCAAAGTATAAGTTTTTCAAAATCAGGAGAACAAAATTTGGAAAAAGTAAAGTTTTTAAATATTGTTGATTGTTATTGGAAATGGAAGTAGTCAAAAACAAAAACAGGGAAATAGTGTTCAAACGATTTTTTTTCAATATTTAAAGATTTCCGGACTCCTTTAGTAAGAAGGCATAATAGATTCATTGAAAAAGTCGAGATGACGTGATCTATGAATGCTATAAAGATTAAGCATGATTTAGTTATCTACCGATAACTTTTATAAAACAATAAATATTCGAATTATAAATTACCTTAAAAGTTTTTGATAAAGGCAGATTTTAAGTTTTAAGCCCGTGCAAGTCCGGGCAACATACGCGTTTCTTTACCTAAGTAACAGGTATCTGATATTCAGAAATTTGAACTTGTTGTAACAATAATGCTGCCGCAATACTCATACTTGAAGTCAAAAATATAATCAAAAAGGGCTTACATAATTTATGGACAGCCCTAATATCAAATATATTGGTTTATTATTAATTTTATACAAAACGTGATTAACATTTAAAATCCTTTTCCGAACTTGTATAGAATCTGTGACGGTTTTCCTGCTGAATTAACAGAAAGTTATAAACTAACAAATAATCGGAATAATCTTTCATGTCACGCGTTTTTCGAGCTAGAAGTTGTTTTTAATATACAATAAAATAAAATAAAAGATCGAAATGGTATTGTATTTATACGGCTCTAAAGTAGTCGTCGGTGGTGATCGTCAGTCATATGTACACATTCATATATTCAGGAAATTATCTCTCGTGTAGCAAGCTACGGTAACGTAAGCAATTGCCATGTTTAGCGTTCAAAGCAATTGAAGCTTATTGGAAACAATTAAGGGCATTTCATCAAACTTCTGTACTTATATATAAAGCAGGAGAACTTTAATATATATCATACTTTATTTCTTGTACACAATTATGCTTTTATACCCGTTACTGATAGAGTAAAAATGTAAAAATTAGTTGAATTCTTAATCAAGGTCACTAGCCAAGTCGATCTGGTCATGTCACTCTGTCCCTATATGCCATATTTTTGTCAAGCGCACTATAACACACATTTAAAAAGTTCTTCGTTTACTCTTAGAGTAAAAGAGTATATTTGATCCATTGAAATGTATGTAACAGTTAGAGGGAAGCGTTTCCAATCAATATTTAGTTTTTGGCATCTCCGTCTGTCGGTCCATATGAACGTCAAGATTAAGAAATCAAGATTAAGAAGTCAAGAAATTATAAAAGCTAGAACGTTGAGATTAGACATGCAACGTTAAAACTGCCCCCACGCTTTTATTAATGTGTAGAAATGTTTTCACTTCATAATTTGTCTTAATAATTTCTATCGGTTTTTTTTCCCAAGCCCACTCTAACGCCTATAAACCGCTAAATCTGCGACACTAACACTTTTGTTGAAATTATTTAATTTTATTATTTGACTTTCCAATTTCTATTCATATGCTAAAAAAGTGTTGACAACGCATGGCTAAAAGATTTGTGGTCTGACGAAAAAAGTTTTCAAAGCAAATGAAAATAACAAAAATCTGCAGTCAAGTTCCTCAACTATCAGATAGTCGTTACTCATCTAGTAAAAGCAAAGTTCAACTTTCGAAATGTTTAGATTTAATATTAATGTTTAATGTTTGAATTTCCAAGACAAATTATATATTATAAATCGAATTAATTCTGGGCAGTTGAACGCCGACGACGTGGTATAAAAATAAAACATTATTGTTCATACGGACATGATCAGATCGCAACACTACTGAACCTGATAAGGAATTTAAATATTTTATATATTTTTTATTTACTCATCCAGGAATGCTGTATATTTTCGTTATTTTCTTTACGACTAACGGGAATACGATAAAATGAAACCAGACTACAAAAGACCTCGATGCCTCGCCAAAAAAATTTAACCTCATAAGGAATTTGTTCGACTCAGTTTTTTAACGATTTATTTTCATATAATGACCCATTGTACAAATTTATTTCGCTTTCTCTTACAGGCCATGCACAAGGAAGAATTTATTAATTCACAAAATGTTAGCAAATTAAATCACACAGATCATAAATCCAATGGAACTAGAAATGAAAGTAGACATAAAACAGGTCAGTAAAAAAGCTAAAAGTAAAAAACGTAGTTAGAGACATGTGTTTTTTTTTAATGTAACATCAATAAGAATCGTTCCCATGTCTCCCAACTGATTTAAAACATTCTACAGAGATCTTCCTTTTTTTAAGTGGAGATATGCTGTAGAAATTGGATCCCTCCGAAGCTATTTTAGGTGGCGTGTTTACCAATAACCCAGATATGACGCATGTGTCTAGATTCACCAGACCACTTCCGCAATGGGACAACCTCAATAAGCAGCCCAATGGAAAGCATGCTTAACTTTGTCCTGCAATTGAGCATTGAGCACTGACTCAGTTGCATCATTCGTTTCTCCCAACTGAGACCAGTAAAGTACAGCAGGTACTGTGCAGCTGAAGCTGCTGTAGGTGCGTTACGTATACGCGTTACTCGTAAAGCAAAAGTATGTATGGCATAGAAGGAAGTGGTTGTGCCCCTAAAAAGTATATACAGTAGAATCTGGTTATAACGACTCCGGTTATAGCGTCAGTCCGGTTATTGCGACGGAAACTCGATGGCTTGGTTGGTCTCCGAACAAAGTTATATGAAGGGACCTCCGACGAGATTTTTCATAAATCCACGCTTTAAGTACTTTAATAATAAGTACTGTATGTAACAGGTGGAAAAAATGCCAAGATCATTAACTGGGTCTTTCTAGCCATGTGCACATCTCTCACCATCTCTCGCCCCCTAAAAAGAATATGCAGTAGAATCCGGTTATAACGACTCCGCTTATAGCGTCAGTCCGGTTATTGCGACGGAAACTCGATGGCTTGGTTGGTCCCCGAACAAAGTTATATGAAAGGACCTCCGACGAGATTTTTCATAAATCCACCGGATATTGCGACGTGCAAAAAAAAAAAAAAAAAAATACTGAAATATTTACAATAATTTACAGTAATTATTTAAAATATGTATAATAATATCACGATCACTAGCAACTCGATCTAGCCGTGTGCATGTACTTGACAATTTCAAGTTACAGGTAGATAGTATATAATTATATAATTTATATTATAACATATACAAGTGTTCTTGATTCGGATCACTAACCGAGTCGATCTGACCATGTCCATCCGTCTGTTCGTCCGTCTGATGACGGCATGCATATTCCAGAGACAGAGGCAGTGAAAATGTGTTTCCAAATTTTGCCCCTTTTACTTTACGAATAGGAGGTATAATTAGTAATTTGAGATATAATAGAATTTGGAATAAAAGGATAAAGTCTATTATACTTAGAACATAATACTCTGTAATACTCTGTGAGTTGCACTCATAATTAGATCTATAGGGATTTAAAATTAGGGACACTTAATTTCTAGTGAATCTCTTTAGAACAGAGACTATCCACTTCACGATAAATAAGATTTTTAAAGTAGAATGCTTTAAGCATCGTTCCATTACCATTAGTCTACCATTAGTCTACTGGAAAAAGGAGGTAACATCAACCCGTGTTATTCTGTCCAAAGAGCACCCACTCACAAGAGTGGGAAAGACATTCACAAGTCTTGGGTTGACACTACAAAAGGTCATAACTTTACACTTGGAGCCATTTAAGTTTAGTACGTTATCACTGCAAAGAAGCGGACTAGGAGCGGACTAGGAAGCTGTCCTTTGTGCGATGCCGAATGTGACTCGGAGGGTACAAAAAATAGAATTAAGTCCTGCAATTAAAACTTAAAATACAAATTAAAATCCACACACAGCCAGGAATTTCGTCAGGCTTTCGTTAAGCATAAGAACAGGGCTGATCCAAATAGAGTAACGTAGAACATGTTGTTTGGAAAAACTGCCTATTGTCTGATCCGATGTTATCGTAGTATTTTTAAAAATAGCGAGGAAGTGTAAGGAGTGGTTTTTAGATTAGTATTAATGAAATTGTAAAACAGAATTTGATTACCTGGCGGCGTTTGCCAGTAGCCAGTAGCTGCCACTGGAACAGTCGGAACATCCTAGCTATTTATTTGAAAATCATAGCGTTGTTGTTTTTCAATTTTGTGTAATTTCGGATTCATTAAATTCATTAAATCTGACCGTTATATAGAATAGTTCATTTTTAATCGGTATACACCAGTTGTTTGACGATATATAAATTCTGTTTAAATTCCATTGTAATCGGAGGACGGATGATCATATATAGATGCCACAGGAACAGTCAACAGAAAATAAATCATTGTTTTGCCGTTTTGATCATATAGTTCATATTTCGTATACACCAGATTCGTTGAAAAGTATGTAACAGCCAGAAGGAATCGTTTTCGACCATATAAAGTATATATATTCTTGATCGGGAGCAATGGCCGAGTCGAACTGGCCGTCCGTCTGTCCGTTCTCAGGAACTTTAAAAGCAAGAAAGTGGAGATTAGGCAAGCAGATTCCAGACATGGACCAAATAAATAAAAGGGCATACTAGATTCGTTGAATAGTATGTAACAGGTAGAAAAAAGCGTTTCCGACTATATTAATTATACGTAAAAATAATATATATTCTTGATCAGGATCAATAGCTGGGTCGAACTGGCCATGTCCGTCTGTCCGACCGTCCATCTGTCCGTCCGTCTTTCCGTCCGTTTGTCCGTCCGTCTTTCCGTCCGTTTGTCCGTCCGTCCGTCGGTCTGTCCGTCCCTATCAAAGTCGAGATCTCGGGAACTAACGTTGAGATGTTTTAAAATAGTGTTAGTTTTGTAAATTTCTATCAATTTGCTAAAATGTGTTTCATACCACTCTGAAGCCTACAAACCACTCATATTTTTAAACATTTTTAAGTTTTATTTTATTTTTCACCAATTACTTCAGATACTCCAGATATTAATATTTCTCGTTCGCACTTCCACTAGCTGAGTAACGGGTATCTGATAGTCGGGGAACTCGACAACAGTATTCTCTTTTGTTTTTATAATGGCATACGTCGAAGTATATGGAAAAAAGGGAAATCTTATTGTTAATATTTTTAACATACTAAATAATATTTAAAATTTTTTTTTTCTTTTTTAATATTACACAGTGAGTTTAATTAACAAGAAAGATGATACAGAATACGATCTTGTCCCACCTGATGGTGGTTGGGGTTGGTTAGTGCTACTGGGCTCGTGCTTGACTAACATTTTAATCCCTGGCACAATAAAAAGTTTCGGAGTATTATTTTCGGAATTCACCGATGCATTCAACTCTTCACCCACGAAGGCTGCCTGGATACCAGCTCTGTGCTATTTTCTTTATAGTTCATTGGGTAACTATCAATAGCACTAATAAAGTCAGACAAATTGAGTTGAAATAGTCTAAAGTTATAGTTGTGTTTTCTCATTTGCAGGCCCGGTTTCAAGCATTCTATCTGTGAAGTACTCATATCGAACTGTCACCCTTCTTGGTGGGGCATCGGCTTCACTAGGTATGATACTCTCCTTCTGGGCATCATCTATTGAGTTCTTGTATATCAGGTAAATTTGGCGTTGTATACACATGTATAAAATACGTTAATAGTATTTTTTTACAGCTATGGCGTGTTGGTCGGAATTGGGGCTGGTCTCTCTTTTCCGCCCACAGTTTACATTGTGACGTCGTACTTTGCGAAACTACGCGGATTAGCTAATGGCCTCTGCATTTCCGGTAGTGCTTTGGGCAGCATAATATTGCCGCCCCTTCTCCGTTGGCTACTAGAGACCTACGGCTATCACGGCTCCTGCCTAATTATGGGTGGCATTACCTTAAACGTATTTGTTGCTGCTCTTTTCTATGAGCCTGTTGAACAACATATGGTACGAGTACCTCGTGCTCGCCAGGCGTTGGAAAATATTCCAGAAGAGGAAGATATTGGAATTGTAATGAAGTTCGAAAATGTTGACGAGCCAGTTCCCAAAAATGAGCAGGCTGACAAGCCGTTGTTACCGTATAACTCGCCTCCTTCGCCTCTGTATTTACCCGGCGATGAAAGGCTGCAGTTTGTGCGTAGCGCATCCGCAGCGGTTGTCCAAAGCTACTCAAAGTCTGGAGACGAGTTTCAGTCTCGATCCCGTAAGATTAGTACCCCAGTGAGGTTACCCCAGAGAAATCAGACTTTTACGCCTGGCCAACTAAACTCGCAATCTTCATTGTACGCTGTGCCCGAGGGGCGATCAAGCTCCAACAAACTGACTCTGCGAAATTCGTCAAAGTCACGGTTATCCAAGCGATCGCCTTCAACAAGCAGTTTTTTATACGTCAGCACACCATATCATGGCAGCACATTGTCGTTTCAGCCGAAAGAATTCTCCTCGCATTTGTCCCTTCGCTCTATGGGGAGCAGTGGGACGGGACATGCAGGTGACACAACCGGGCCAGATTATGCCGACGTCGAAGCCCGCGGCCAGGCACAACAGCCACAACGATCGAAGTTTTTTGATCTAAGCCTTTTAAAGGACCCAATGTACTTGGTCATACTTATTTCGAATTCGACGAATGCCATAAGCTACACGAACTTTATTATTTTGCTGCCCAGTTTTGGAGAAGCCAGGGGCTTCAACAAATCATTATCTGCATATTTGCTTTCAGTTGTATCAGCCACAGATCTAATTGGACGTATTGGAGGATCAGCACTTTCGGACATGGGATACATACCTAAGACCTGGTACTTTGTTGGTGGTTTGTCCATATCGGGTCTTTCTCTTGCCCTTCTCCCATTTGCATGGACATACAGTTCAGTATGCTTTTGGTGTGCACTCTTTGGGTTAGCGTCTGGTATCTACGTCGGAATAACTGCAGTCATCATGGCAGACATGCTTGGAACGGAACGCTTGACATCATCCTATGGCATCAGCCTTTTCGTTAATGGATTGTTGCAGTTGGTTGGGCCGCCATTATGTAACTACTGGTTCGAGGCAGTCAATGATTATAATCCCCTCTTCCATGCCCTAGGCTTAACGCTCCTGGCTGGGGCTAGCCTTTGGAGTTTTATGCCGTGGATTAACCGACGCAAAGCCAAGGCGGAAGAGCAACTAGATGCACAAATCGAAAAAGCGGCTGTCGATAGCTACTAAATGGTCGATCAACTCTCGTACCAAATAACGTACAATAATATTTAGATTTAAGGCTTAAAACAGCGTACAAACAGTGATGAAGATAACAGCCAGGACTAAAAGACCATTAATATTTTATGTAACCTTTGATTCGTTTCTTCCAGCTGATTTATTGTATTACTGCTTAGTCGTAATTAGTACGTTGTTAATTACTACAATTATTGTTTGTTTAATAGCAGTACTATAATATTCTAGACCGCTTAAAAATATTAGAAATGAATGCAGTGAGAATTCGTAAAAGTAACGTTTTATAACTATTTTTTCAATAAATACGTAAAAACAATAAAAAATAAGAGATGCAGTACAGGAAAAATTGAAAAAAAAGAATGGCAAATAAAACAATAAAATGAAAAGTCAACATCCACTTAACATGGAAATGCTGTTTATATTACCTTTAGAGTAAAAAGTTTTATATACTGCTTAGATGGTGAGAGTAAAAAGTATGTAACAGTTAAAAAGTAGCGAACTATAAATGCTAGAAATTAACCATGCAGCTTCTAGTGACCATTACACATCACACACTTCTTTCAGAAGGTTACCGCGCCTACTCTAACGCTATTATTTTGCGTCGCCGTTCTTAGACTAGGGTGAACAGGTGCGTCATGCCAGCCGAAACTTACTGTTCCTTTCTCTGCCCTGGTTGGTCTCGCCATACTCGTAAGCCTGTTCAGTGCCTACTAAGACGTCTGCATGAGTGCACTCAAAATTTTCGGTTAATTGAGTACTCACAAGCTTAAGTCGCGCCGAAACGGTTTCAACAGAGTTAATTGCGCATTGGCTTGCGTTGTTTTTGTTGTATGTGGAATGAGTGAAATTCAAACCAAAGCGGAATGGATAGAATGAGTGGATGCAGAGTAAATGTGTAGAGTACTCGGATAAAATTTTGGCATTTTCTTCATGGCATGCGGAGCAGAAAATTTTATAATAAAAATGCAGAGCTCGGCCGAAATCGTAAGTACTTTAGTAATTGTAAATTGTAAAAAAAAATAATATATGTGTAAATAGAATAACAAATTAATAATTAGCTCAATTGAAGTGTTTGTCTCCTTTAACAAGGTGCATTAAAAAGGTGCATTATTGCTAACACTTCTAATACAGTAAACCAAATAATGTTTCTCCATTCTGTTATTGAAAATTAAAATAAATAAAATATATACTTATACATAAAAATTATATCATGTCTTTCTATTTTTCTATGTCTTGCATTTAAAAGCAAAACGAAAACAAAAACGCAATAAATTTGTCGTCGCCAATGCCGCGCACAGTAAACCGTTTCCGTTATTCCGAGTACTCGGTCGCGAGTACTCATTCGTGCGTTGCCTCGCCGTTCGGTTATAGTACATTTTTTACTCATGCCTTTACCACATTTGCCAAATCCGTTTTACTCAATATCGCACTCATTCAGTCAGAACTTTGAGTGAGAGTACTATATGCTGCTTTGACTGTATTCATGCAGACGTCTAGTGCCTACTAACGCTCTAGGCTTACGCTAGGAGACGCCCGGTGAAAGACGAATGTTTCTCCCTAGCATTTCCATGGGCTAGCCTTGGGTCGACTTAATGCGTAGCTCACTCCGGAGTCCCGTGCAGCTGGGTGTCAGGCGCTTAGGGAAGAAATTTCCACCGTATACGGAATCAAGGTAGCCAACGACCATCAGGTGAACCGACAAAACATAAATTCCATAACTGCTCCGACTGCTTACGCCGGTCACACGCCTGCTTAGTTTTAAGTCGACCGAGTGACTTGCTAAGTGACCGAACGTGTCAATTGCTTCACGATTTTTACCTACGTTCTGATTCTCGATAACTGTTCTCCCTTCCCTCGTTACATACATTTTCCACGTCCGGTGTCAGATTTGTAAATCCGTGGTAAACCCGTCCGGTCCAAGGTCTAGCTTAGTACGGTTCTTACTGTTTCGCTCTAACTAGTGCCATCTCCGGTCGCATATACTCTCCGCTTTCTCTTTTTACAAGTTCTCTTTAAACTCTACAAACTACATTTCCGTTACTACGAGATCCGTTGCGAAACTGCAAAGAGGTAGGCCATCCTTGCGCAGTTGATCTTTGCATTTAAGCGGAGTAATTTATGACCCGCACTTGTTCTTAATTAAGCTTAGCTGTCACTTGATCGTAAAAAAATCGAGCAATTTTTCGGCCTCATTCTCCTCTCCATCACACGTACGTGTGCCAAATTGATCGTCGCGGACCGCGCTATACGATTCCTTTTTGTCAAGGTTGTCCGTCAAACGCTATGTCATCATCTTTAACCTACTTCACATCTCGCGTCAGCACTCCCAAATGGTTTACCTACTCATTTTATCTCTAGTAGAATTCATATCATATTTGTTTTGATTAATATGTTGTGCCATGTGTATTAGAAATAATTAAATGCTAGTATACAAAAGCGTCCGTGTAAGTTTACAACAATTGGTTTAGCGCAGAGTATAGGATTCACCACCGGTCGATGGTGCACACGTCAAAAAAAGTTGTTGGCTATTTACGACAACAAACGTCATTTTAAGGGTTGTTGTCTTTGTGCCTTAAAAGCAAGTATGATACTCGCCGCTGAAGGGTTATCTTTATTTATAAAAATATTATTTATTAAACAATTAATTTTTATCAATGAAATTGCCTGGAAGAGGCTTACAATAAAATATCTTCGATGCCTAATACATATTGGTTTATTGGTTATATTGAGCGTAAAAAGAAACGAAGTTCAGTTACTCTGAAGTTCAGTTTGCTGTTATCCTCCAACGCCACAGTTACGCTTGGCTCGGAATAATAAATAATAAATGTCAACTCCTTGTCGTTTATTGTCATGGAACCGCCTAACATTGGACTCGTAGAGCCGCGCGCGTTATTCGCCGGCCAAGAATTAAGTGGCGCCCAACGAGTGGTAGTCACGCTACGACCCATTATCCGTTTTTTAACAAAAAACAGTGCTAAACAACGAAGTGACTAATCAAGCGATTTACGGCCACACAGTGACAGTAATAAAGCGCTCAAAGTACTCCCGAGCGCAGTAACAGTGACACCAACCTCTTCAACCGCTACAATTGACTGAGGCGCGCAACAGCGCTACTTACTAAATTTACATCATACACCGAAGTCGCTGGAGCTCTTCAGGCAGCGGATTATCGCCAGATCAGCGCGCAAGCTATCTGGACAACGGAGACTGTCCGACGGGCGGAGCAGCAAACTACACAAACACCATAATAGTAATCCACACAACACCGATAATGTAATTGCAACGTAATTTAATTTTATTTAAACTGTACTTAAGTCTAAATGAGCTTAAACATAAAATTAAATCCTATAGCTTTGCAGAGGTGATTGCCAACTTCAAAATACTTAACAACAAGAAGTTCTAATAAAAAATTGAATTGAAATTGAATTGAAAGTGAATTGTCAGCGCGCATAGGGTTTTTCCGTTTGCCTTTGTATCGTTCGGTCTGTATTGCCGCTCAGCGTAACACAATCCGTTGAATAATTGCAACTTTGTTGCCTTAGACCTCAAGCATTGAAGTTGCATTGCTTGCACTAGAAGAACTTCATATTTCCTCTGTTACAGAGACCCCCGTCAGCAGCCTAACGATTTAGACTCTGATTGCGATAGTCTCATTCGCACTCCAGCCCCAAGATATACAATTCCGGCTCCCCCCGCACCTAGTAGCATGGACGCGGAACAATTAAAGCTGAGCAACCCAGCGCAAATCCCTGGTTGACAAAGTTATCTTACTATCGCAGCAGGTGGCAGCAACTTGCCCCTGGACATAGAAATAACAAATGACACTAAATGTCACGAGCCGTTAGACGCCGTCAAAAGCTTGCCTGAATTCACAGGGGTACAGGAGTCGTATGTTTCATGGCGACGGGCAGCACTCGCAGCTTACCGCATATTCAGTGCCGTACGATGGCACTGCGCGCCATTATCAGGCCGTCATAATCTTAAGAAATAAGATCAGGGGGCCTGCAGATGTTGTATTAGCCTCATTTGCACAGCGCTTAACATTGATACGATCATAGGTCGCCTTGACTTTACATATAGCGACAAGCGGACAATACAGGTAATTGAACAGGAGTTAGGCAAGGCAGCATGACTACGCTAGAATATTATGATGAAGTTACAAAGAAGCTGACATTGTTGACTATTAACGTCAGCATGTCGTATGATGCAAGGGCCTTTGTGAAAAATTTCGCAAAGGCGCTATGCGGCTATTTGTCTCAGTGCTAAGGCGCAGTCTAACAGACGTGCTCTTCGCAGCCAAACGAAGAGACTTACCGTCTGTCCTGGCACTCGCGCAGAAGGTGGAGGCGAACCACGAGGGATATGCTTTCGCGGCCACCTTCGCGAGAGGCAGCAAAGAAAAAGGGCACTGGGCAAACGCCAATCAGCATACTAAGTCATATCAGCAGGCTGAGGCAAAACCAAGGGGGCCGTTTTAACAAACAGCACAAACAACAGGGCAAGTTTGCCCAGCGTGGTGCTGAGCAGCAAAATCGTAGAAGCATGCCAGAACCAATGGAAGTGGACCCTTCATTTTCAAAGTTTAGGCAGCCCACTCAGGCAACAAATGATGTCAACAAGCGGTCGGCCACATCCGATCGCACCAACACCAGAAACAAGAACCAAAGGGTAAATCATGAAACAAGCACCAAAGGGTAATTTTTTAGGGATTGCTTCCCGTTATTAGACGAAGAATAGCAGGGATAGATATGAACTTCCTCATCGACACCGGCGCATCAAAAAATTGTATCAGGCCACACAAGGGGATGCGTGGCATCCGTCCGGTTAGCTCCCCGTTCAAAGTACACTCGATCCATGGATCTACTAGCGTCATACAAAAGTGCTTTGTCGCGTTATTCAACGTAAAAGCAAGCTTCTTCCTCCTATCAGATTTATCAACTTTCGACGCGATTATCGGCCTCGAACTGCTAGCGCAGGCCGGTGCATCACTTTGCTTGGCCTCTGGCCAGCTTAAATGGGGCACAGAAGTTGCGTAGATCTCCTTCCATACGTGCGAGCAATAGATTGCTGTTGAGATCCAAAAGGAAGGTCTTTGCAGATCCCAACGAGGCCCTGCCTTACAGTGGTTACCACCATGAGGACAGCGAGTGAGCAGCCTATCTATGCTAAACTTTACCCGTACCCCATGGGTGTAGCCAACTTTTTCAATAAGGAGATTCAAGATGGATTCAAGATCTTCTAAAAAATGACATAATCCAAAAATCGGCATCCCCTTACAACAACCCCATATGGGTAGTAGATAAGAAAGACTTCAGCAATCTCAATGAGAGAACTATTCCCGACAAATGCCCTATGCCGAACATTTCAATGATACT